GGTCTGTGATTGTTTCAGGTTACGCATCTGTCACACACCAATCATGCACTCTCATTCATCGCGTAGCCCATTCGATTGCCACGCCATTGTCATCTGCCGGTCTCTGCAAGCTCAAAGGGCGCCAAGTATACAGCTGCACAGATCACCATGCAGGCCTCACGCCGGTTTTGAAGACCTCGGACGTAGTCGAGTCACGACCGTCTTGAGTGCAGACACAGCATATGAGTGAGTGGATCGCCAGGCCGGTAGCGCGGTGATCACGATTAAACCATCGACCATCGATTGCATCTGGAGGTGATTGCAAGGCACAAGGGGGCATGTTGCAAGGATCGAGGAGCGGAACGCATCTTGGTGAGTGCGGACTAGTAGACATGAGCATACTTTGATCTTCTCCTCAGCACAACGCCCCACTTGCGAAGGACAAAGAGCCAAAGTCCGAGGGCGATGCCGATAGCAGCGATGACTGTGCTTCCCACTCCCAATCCTAGCTTGTTGTAAAAGGCATGTCCAAAGATCGGGAAGGCGCCTGCCAAGCTGGATCTGATGACGGAGCAGGTGGCCAAGACGGAAGCTGCGACGGTAGGGTAGCACATTGGCAGATAGACGAGCAGGGATTGAAATGACAAGAAGACGCTGGGGAGTAGCAGAGCTGCAAAGATGGTCGGAACGATCCAGTGCACTTGATATTCTGCTGTCCAACCAAAGATGAGGATGGAGACTGGAAAAGCAGCAAAGCCGGCTAAAGCGATGCTGAGCCTGTCTTCCGGCTCGATGATACCCATTTCAGCCTTGGCCCTAAATCGAGGAGCGTAGATGTTTTGAATGTACCAGATGTACGCGCCGACGGAGATGACGCCCGAGACTGCAAAGGCCAAGAAGGGCAGCGATTGAGCTCCGAGACCCCAGCCGTAGGAAGAGTAGAGGATGGGAAAGGCCTCAAAGAAGAGGTAGAAGGCGGCATAGACCAGACCGAGGTAGGCGCAGGTGAAAAAGACGATGGGCTCAAAAGCGAGACGGATGGGCCTCCAGATGGACTCGGCCAAGATGGAAGAAAAGGCGACGGAGTCTTGATCGATTTCGCTTTGACTCTTGAGCGATTCGTCCCCAGTCAACTTGCGCAGGCGTTGAGCGCGGTGCAGCAGGATTGTGGGTGCATACGTCTCGGGCAGCAGGAATGTCAAGCAGAATAGACTGATGATGCTCAGAATGGTAATGATGTAGAGTGGCCATCTCCACGTGCTGTACTGCGCTGCGTATCCTCCGAGCACAGGTCCGAAGACAGGGCCACAGATGGCGCCTCCACTCCAGACAGCGATGTAGATGGGCAATTTGAGGTTGTCAAACATGTCGCCCAAGGATGCTCCGCCCGTTGCCAGGGCGGGAGAGCCAAAGAAGCCGGCCATGAATCGAGCTGCCATCAAGGTCGAATAGTTTGGTGCAAAAGCGGCCAAAAAATTGCTGGCTACGAGGAGAATGTGTGTGGGAATGTAGAGCCGGTTGCGGCCTAGAACTGCCAGCTCTGAGGGACCCGAGAAGAAAATGGGACCAATTCCGTACGCGATGACGAAGAGCGAAAGACCCATGATGGCTTGCACCTGCGATACTTGGAATTCTGCCATGACGCCCGGTATGGAGGGCGTGTATGCGGCAGAAGAGGCGTAGACGCTGAACGTCATGAAGCTGATGAGCATCGCCACACTCTGCTTTTTGCGGCTCGACCAGTTCTGAGGATTCTCATCGTCGTCATCCGAGTACCAGCCCACCACCTTGACGCCTTTAGGGATAGGCTTCGAGGGTAGGATTCGAGACTCTATCCGTTCGGGCGCAGCGCCATCTGTGAAGCCTTCGGACATTTCTTTGACGCCTGCTTCGACATCCTGCACAGGCTTGATTGCTGCCTTTGCTTCTTCTGCTAGAGTTTCGGCACTGGAAGGTCGCCCTTGAGCATCAGCGATGCTGGCAGGGCGGGGCGTCGCATTGCCAGAAGACGTGTACGAGGAGCGCGCTGCCTTTTCTGAAAGTTCGGGCACTGCATCGAGAGCCTTTGTTGCTGATTGGAGAGCATGCGGAGGCACAAAATTCTGCGATTGTTCCGGCCGTGTGGCTACCGAACCGTGGGTGAGATGATTGAGTATCTCTCCCGCGATGGAGGTCGAGAATACCGAGGCAATAGTAGACATGCTTGCTGCGAGGGTAGGTGTGTCTATGAGTTAGGGAAGGCAAGTCTCGGCTGGCGGTGGCAGGCTCAGAAGAGGCAGTCTCAGCCTGGCCAGTTGCTCAGTCGATTGGGAGTTGGGAGTTGGTGATGAGCGACAAGATCAAGTGCTCACGAAGTGTCCCTTTTTATACCTTTCTCGCTTACTTTCGCTGGCAGTCAAGCGTATTGCACCATCATTCCTGTGCATGCTGCAAACCTCGTTCAGCTTGCATCGGAGCAGTGACGGGTGCACAAGCTCATACACCTTTTGCGCTTCTTCCTCATGCTCACCATTACGGTCGTTACGATACATTGATCACACCGGAACGATACGTTGATCACAGACTCACGACTCTCACTCTCTTGGACAACAAGCATTGCGGTTGTAATCATGAGCTTTCCGTGCACAAAAATTTCGATGGAGATATGCAGAGCAAGCAGCAGCGGTCACGGCAAGCGGTTCTTCCGGACTTTATTCGCGCGCCGCGCTGTGGTGCACGTGAAATATCGGACTTAAGCTGAGCAGTCACGAGCCGTGATGAGGTCCCGCCTGGCAAGCATGCGTAGCTCCGTATCCTCGCGCTTCGTCCGACGTCTTGCAGCGCGTTTCGCCAACAGGATGTTGCAGCAAGGCCGCTAAAAGACACTTGTAAACGTGGCTGAAATGACCAGCACGAGCTAGCTGCGAAGGAAGCTTCACGAGCCCTGCGCCTTTTCCCCGATCCGACAGCTTGCGCTAACGGAGAATAGCCTTCTGCGCAAGGAGATACAGCGTCAAACTCTGTGTGACTCTGAATGATCACTAATCGCCGTCTCGACTCTCTCGCGTTTCGCAACTCGAACTCTTGACTTGGTCATGACGCTGGTGTAGAACCGTCATCGGACCTATCTTGCTTCACTGTACCCCTGCGTAGATAGGCATCTCATTCTTATCCATGCTGCAACTCTACTCAACGGCCCTGACGCACTTCATATCATGCCTCCCGACGCATCGCACGGAGGTGGGTCAAGATATTCACGGAGAGCACTTAGTGATTGCGCAATGTCGGTTGGGCAGCATGCTTCATCGACCTCCGTCGTTATTCTCGTCTGCCCGCGTTTCTGTCGCTCAGACTGGAGACGGGTTGGCATCCCTCCTCACTCGTGAGGCACCTTGCGTCCAATCGCCACTCTGCTTTCACAATGCAGCATGAACAGGCAAGCATTGACCGCTCAATCGACGTTGGGAGGGTCACGCTTTGAGCCTCGGCTTTCCTAAATGCGACGACAATTTGATTGCTCGCTCCGCTCTACAGAAGGCGCAAGTCTACGCGAATACAGGCGCCTGGCACAATGCGGTAGACAGGAGTTCTTTACCACACCCTGCGGAGATCAGAAGACGAGAACATCAGCATCAAAATCGCTGCTCAGAGTGGGCCAGATCCCATGTCATACTCACATGCTCGACATATCGTTGCGAACTGCGATGGGGGGTGCATAGGGCAGGACATGTAAGTTACATGTCGCTGCACGAGTCGGTTTGTTAGGTCTTGTCCTTGTACTCACTTCTGCTGTAGTCGAGCAATCCTTCCACGCGACCATGAGCAGAGATGGCGATATCAGCGTCCCCTGTTGGAACGAATGAGCGAATGAGTGTAAGGAGACAGTAGACCCCCTCATTGAAAAGGACGTGACTCACAAAGGTACTTGCGGGCGACTTGTTGGATCTGAGCAGGTCCAACAGCCTCGATGGCGGCAGAGATTTCCGCAGGTGTAGCTCTGCGACCAGTAGTGACGAGTTGACGACCAATGTCCTCCGCAATCGCGGTGGTTCCGTCCAGACCCAGAAGCAAGCTTGCCTTGAGTTGGCTCTTTGCTCTCTCCACTTCTCCCTCAGTAGGCGCCGAGCTCATCCTCTGCCACTCCCTCAGGGTGAAGTGCACCACATCGTCCAGGTTCATAAAGTTTTCCGAGACAATATAGACGCCCCAAAGACCAGTGTCGGAGTAGGAGGTGCTGAAGTGCATGAAGGAGTTGGCGTAGTTGTTGGAAGAGTAAATGTGAGACAAGCGCGAGCTCAGCAGAGGACTCGATCCAAGAGATCGGTCCCAGTTGCCCATGATGGCTTGCAGAACCAACAAGGGGAAGTAGTCAGGGCTAGACCATCCAGCTCCCTCGACCGCGATGGCAAGGTTGATGGTGGGCGAGTCATCGTCGCGAATGCGGACCTCTGACCCTACAAACTTGGTCTTGGGACCAGCGGTGTTGCCCAGCTTGATGGGGTTGGAAGAAGTGGGCAGGCTGCCAAAGTTTTTCTCGGCCAGCTTCACAAGGGCGTCGTGCTCAATACCACCGGCGCCAACAAGAACCATTCGGTCGGCGGAGTAGTTGGTCTGAATGTAGGAGGCGAGATCGTCGCGCTTGATGGAGAGAATGTTCTCCTTGGGTCCGAGGATGGTGCGTCCCAAGGCTTGTCCTGCCAAGATGAAAGCGAGACGCGCGGGGGCGCGTGAGCAGGCAGAAGCAAGGGATAATGTGTCCGTGCTCCTTTGCAGACTCACCTTGGAAAGCCACGGAGTGGAGGTGATCAAACACGACCTCATCCAACTGCTTGTCGACCTCCTCCTGCTCGCGCAGAATCACGTCGCGTTCCCTCTCGATGGCACCGTTCTCCAATTTGGAGTTTTGCAAAATATCAGAAATGATGTCCACTGCTTGGGGCACGTCCTTGCGGAAAGCCTTGGCGTAGTAGACTGTTTGCTCTCGGGAAGTGTATGCGTTCAGGTGCGCACCCAGGTTCTCCACTTCCAGCTCCAGGGCGTGCTGGTTACGGCGACCGGTGCCTGTAATCCAATGAACGAGCAAAAGATTATGCTAGATGAGAACCAACACTGACCGCGTCCGCTTCTAGTGCGCAGTACGCCTCTCTTTCCACTTCGGATGTGGTTCGACGTGCAGACTCACCTTTGAAGGCCATGTGCTCCAAGAAATGCGCGGTTCCGTTGGTCCTGTCCGTCTCTGCTCGCGAACCAGCATCAATCCAGACACCCACGGTGGCCGTCTGAGCGGAAGGACTGGACTCTGTAGCAACGGTAAGACCATTTGGCAGGGTCGTGGTCTGCGTGATGGGCTGGGAAGAAGAACGGGAGTGCACACGACAGGTCAGCCAGAACGCTCCAGCTATTCCTCCGAATCGTAGATGATCCGCCTCTACATGGCGCTGAGGGTCCCGACAGTTTTGGTGGTCTCGAAGGTCCGACTCCATTCATCCCGATCCTCGGGCACATGCGCAAGTGTCTGCATATCGCCTGCCCACGATTTCCTTGGTGCCCACTATTGCGCATCTGCACACCGAGGGGAGAGCCGCTGCTGTATCCAGCACAATCGAAATCCACCGCGCGGGAAGTCCGTTTCAAGGTACTCACCTGCCTCTGAGCAATGCTAGCGAAAGAGCGAGGGACAGATCGGGTGAGAGAAGGAGCGGCGGGTCTGAGCACCGCTGGGCTGCGCAGAGCGCTGTTGACCAAGTAACGAGCCGACATGTTTGCGATAGCTGAACGGCAAGCTACGAAGACTAGCGGATAGACGAAGAGAATGCGAAGCGGTGGCGTGAAGACGTTCTGGCAGGGTTAGGCAGAGTACCTGCTCGTGATTTCTGATTCACTTGGAAGCTCGAGCAGGCAACGAGCAAGCGCAAACGCGTGTGTGTCCGCGCTGAGAAGATGTGTGTGTGTGCGGTTGGCTGCCTTTGCTGCGTGCGTGCCGCTTCGCCCCAAACGCCAGGCTCGCTGCGTGCGACTGCACCCGAACGGGCGAGCGAGCGGGCGCCTTCAAGAACGCGGCACGCAGCAGGCATACATGTACGCAGGGCCAGCCAACCGGTTGAAGCCGTTTGGAAACGCGCCTCAGCAGGGAGCCCACCTCCGCGCACGTGGGATGCACAAACACGCACGTGACTCAACACAGACTCAGACTGCTCTTTGTGCTTCCGTGCGAGAGAGGAGGATGTGTCGTGAAATTTGGCCGCTGGATGCTTGATGTGGCTCGAGGTCGAAGGGACAAGCTTGACCGCCTTCTTCTCCCCGCCTGTGTCACTCCTTGCCCACGGTCAATCTTGATAAGTATATCACGCTCAACAATCTTCCAGTATCTCTACTGAAGGAGCTGAATACCGCCGCAAGACAGCGCGAGGTTCGGCACCTGAAATCGCACACAGGTGACTGAGAGCTCCGTCATTCTGAGAGTCTTTCAAGATGCCCAAATCGAGCTCAGCACCGCGAAGCAAAGACGCTTCGGGACTGATGGATGCAAGGTCCGGCCAGTCGTCGCGCCGGACATCGCGAAAGAACAAGGCGTCATGGAGGAAGCATGTCGACTTATCAGAGGTGGAAGCTGGAATGGAAGAGGCGAGGGCTAGGGAGAGGGCAGGCTTGCCGTCACGGACTTCCACCAAAGGCAAAGGAAAGGGAAAGAAGATCGACGAGGAGACAGAGAAGGACAAGGCATCGGGTTTCGACGAGTTGTTTGTGGAGGACAGGGTGGGGGACGAAGAACTTGCGCGCCAACTTGCCAGGTCCCACAGGCTGAAGAAGCCTCTGCGCAGCATGGAGGGTTTGCAGAGCAGCAGTGCAGTACCAGCATTGACCGGTCGAGCTAAGCGACAAGACCAGAGCAAGAGCTCAGATCCTCAAATGACCGCAGAAGACAAGCGCAGAGCAAGGCTGAACAGAATAAGCAAATCTCAGAAGGACCAGCTCAAGAGAATGGCCGGACACACTATCAGGGGACCCTTTGGCGCAGTGGTGGAAGGGGAGCAAGGCAGAATGAGAGAGGCCGCTCCTGATGCTCACACAGATATATGGCAAGATACAACAGCGCACGCGCGCGGTGCGGTTGATGTTGCCGATGCTGAGAAGGACGAGTGGCTAGCCAACGCTCAGAGAGAATTCAACAAGGTGAGTCCGGTGCTCTGCGTTTCAGATGTCTGGCTTGTCCTGATCGCATCCCTGCTTTCTTATGTCTCACCAGTTGCCGACGAAAGCTCCTCGAACCCTTGGTGCTTCCACTCAGGTATCGCGACCAGCCATCTCGCAGCCGCACGCCGGCCAATCCTACAATCCTACCCTGGAATCACACGATGCGCTCTTGGCCCGAGTGGGTGCCGAGGCTGTTGCGCACGAACACGAGCGGCTAAGGCAAGAAGCTTTCAAGAAGGAGTGGGAAGATGGAGGCAAGATCGCGAAAATGGATGAGGCCGATGCTAAAAGGGTGCGAGGTATGCTTGTCGGCGATGAAGTTGAGCAAGATGATGATGATACTGTAGAAGGAGAAGCAGAAGCGGAGGCACCAGTCGTGAAGAAGGATCCCAAGAGGAAGACGAGAGTGCAGCTGAATAGAGCAAAGAGAGTCCGCCATGAGGTGAGGAGCATAGGACTGATACGCAGTCACATCCTCTGACGCAAGGTTGATTGAGCTGACGATGCAATGCGGAACGTGCGCCTGTCAAACTTCTAGCAAACTCTCCGCCTTGCAGCCAAAGCCGCCAAGATTCAACGTGCGCAGCTATCCTCTCTTTCCGCCCTCAAGAAGGCAGCTCTCGAAGCCGAAGCGACGCGCGTCGCTTCGCGGCTGTCAAAGCTGTCTTCACGCGAGTCCAAATTGTCAAAAGCAGGTTTGGCAGGTCAACGGCTGGGCAAGTTCAAAGTGCCAAAGTCCAAGGCGGAGGACGATGTGCAGCTGGGAGAAGAATTGAGCGAGAATCTCCGGAGTCTGAGACCCGAAGGCAATTTGTTCAGGGATAGGTTCCAGAGTCTGACTGTTCGAGGATTGATCGAACCTAGGATGAAGGTCACTGCTAGTGGAAGGCATAAACGTGGCGGAAAGGGCAAGAAGACGTATGAAGCGCACAGCTACAAACGATTTGTGAGTGGCAGAAGAGGCGTATCTGCTCTTTGGAGTCATGACTGACTACCTCGCCTTCCTTGCGCAATCCACTATCATCGATCGTAGATCTGAGACTCCTTTTGACTCCCCTTGCACGTCTTGTTTTTCTTTAGAAGAGCCAGCTATCCTACATCGAGAGCTTTGCAGATGACCACAACAGAGGCGCAAAGTCTCGAGCTAGTGCATGCAATTTTGACGATGAAAGCATTGCATGGAAGTGCGCGTATTGCCCACGCTTTGACGATTTCAGAGGTTGTTCTCGAGGGACCGTTCATTCTTGAGCTTGAGCAATCTCTGACAGACATCCTCGAGCGGGATGATCTCATCTCTGCCTTTGCCCCCCTCTCGCCCGTTTCTAACGTTGACGCTGCAGAGTGCAAGCGTAGGATTTGGAGGCATCAGCATCTTGCAACGAGGCAGCGCGCTTCTGTCTGACCTCCAACAGTATTATCTCACCTGTTCGTCTCCATCTCGCTGTGCCCAACGACGAGGATAAAGTTCTGATAGGAGAGCGAAACCGAACACTGCTTTCAGACGTGGTCGTCACCGTAGATGCATCTACCCTTGCACTTACATATTGAGCGATTTCGGCCGTGCGGATCTTCTTTGGCAAGGTCTCGGCAGTGAGGTCCACATCGGTGAAGAAGCCGAGGTCCCAGAGCTTGGACTTGATGCTCTCTGCATATCCGTACACAGATTGAGTGACCGGGACGACCATGACCTGTAGCGCAAGTGATGTGGCATGTGGGCTCGCCATTCAGAAAACCGAGACCCGGCGACAAAGAAGGGCTTTGGTGGCTGCAGCTTACCTGACGGGGGGAGAGCCAAAGAGGCCATTTGCCGGCGAAATGCTCGGTGAGGATGGCGATGAATCTTTCGAGAGAGCCGAGAATCGCTCGGTGGATCTAGACCGCAGCGCGAGGGAGGTAGAATTCAGCAGGACAGTTCTACCATGGCTGTACAAAGAGCAACTCACCATGACCGGCCTCTCGTGATCACTTCCATCCGCCGACACCTTGTTAGACCTGAATTGCAGGCCGAATCTCTGAGGCAGCTGGAAGTCAAGCTGGATCGTGGCGCTGAATCGATGACCGAGAGTGATCCAATCAGTGGGACAGTCTCGGAATCGCTCACGCAACGATCAAAAATTCGTCCACCACTTACCACTGGAATTGGCGTCGCATAGCGTCCGAGATGGTGATGTCGATCTTGGGTCCATAAAATGCGCCATCTCCAGGATTCAGCTCCCATTTGCCCGGCACGAACTTGTCTAGCGCATTCTGAAGACGCTTTTCAGCCTCGTTCCAAGTCTCGATGTCTCCCAAGAAGTTCTCCGGCCTGGTCGACAATTCCAATTTGAATTGGAAGCCAAACTTGCCGTACACGTCGTTCATGAACTCAAAGCAGCTTGTCACCTCGTCTTCGATCTGCGTTTCGAAGGGCAGGTAAGGAGGTCGGTGCGCTGTTTTTGCGCGCTTTCCTGATACCGCTCAGCCGCTCACCTGATTCGCCATGCAAAAGATGTGGGCATCGTCCTGCACAAACCTTCTCACGCGCGTGAGACCAGACAGAGCACCGCTCGCCTCGTTCCGATGAATGACGCCAAATTCTGCAAACCTCAAAGGCAGGTCCTTGTAGGATCTATCACGGGCGGCAAACATGAGCGCGTGTCCTGGGCAATTCATGGGCTTCAGTCCAAATTGTTCCTTGTCTACTGGCAGGACGAACATATCGTCCTTGTAGTTCTGCCAATGACCCGAGGTGGTCCAGAGCTTTGAGCTGAACATGTTGGGGCTGATGACCTCGTCGAAGCCTCTCTTTCGGTATTCGCCCTTCATGAATTCCAGCAGAGTATTGTAGATCCGAGCTCCGTGGGGCAGCCAGAAACAACTGCCAGGACTCATCTCATTGAAGAGGAACAGCTCTTGAGCTTTCCCAATCTTCCTGTGGTCCCGCTTTTCGGCCTCAGCCAAGAAATGCTTGTATTCGGTCATTTGCTTCTTGTCGGGGAACGAGATTCCATACATTCGCTGAAGCGAGTCGTTGGCTTGATCGCCTAGGAAATAAGAAGCAGAGTTTTTCAAGATGGCCATGGCCTTGATGCGACCCGTATGAGGCACGTGTGGGCCGACACACAGGTCCACCATAGGACCGCACCTGTACACTGTAGTGCTCGTTCCGTCTTGGATCTTGGTGTTGATGATGTACTGCTTGTACTTGTTGTACTTGAACATTTCCAAAAGCTGCTCCTTGGTGACGACGACCCTTTCAAATTTTTGCTTGTCCTTGATGGCGCTCTGGATGAGCGTCTCGAGCGCACCAAAATCTTCTGTGCGGACAGTGCGATCTTGACTGTCGCCCATTCCCATCTCGTAGTAGAAGCCTTCGTCGGTGGGAGGTCCGATGCAAAGGTGACACCCGTAGTGACGCTCTGCTGCTTCTCCTAAAACGTGTGCACTGCTGTGCCAAAAGACGCGCTTGCCCTCGGGCGTCTCAAAGTCGAACAGCTCGAGCTTGGCGGCACCTTCGAAGGGACGCTCAAGATCCCACAGCTGATCATTGACCTGGGTGACGCGCACCGCACAGCAGAATGAAATGAGAATTGCATCAGCATACAGCCTGATTTGCCATCCATTTGGTTCATAAGCTCTAATCTAGACGCGCTGGACAAGTGCTAGCTTCCCGGATGCTCGAGCAAGCGCAGCCGAGCGCACGCTCACCTTTGAGATGACGATTCTGTCGCTCAAGCTCTTGCTGATGGCCTTGGCGATATCCATGGGTGTGGTCTCCCAACTGGTGGCATCCCTCTCGCTTCCATCCGGCATGGTGATTTTGATGGGCACCCTTTCCTTCTTCGCCCGCTCCTCCTCCTGTTCCTTTTGCAGCTTTTCAAAAATCTCCAACCTCGCATCGAAGAATGCAGGTTTGGGTGTGAATTCCAAAGGATGCTTTTGCGCTCCCGCTGCGTCGTTTGCGGCCGACTTTTTGGCAGCTTTGGAGGCCTTCTTGTTCGCACCCGCTGGGGCACTGGACTTGGAAGTCGAATCTGCAGCTGCAGCGCCTACATCCTCTTTGTCGGACACTTTCAGGTTGGCAGTGGAGTCCACCAGACCGCTGAGTGGCTCACGAGCAGCCGCAGTGGAGCTGACCGGATGCAAACCCGGATTTGGGGCAGCTTCGGACATCGTGACAGCCCAGGATACAACACTGCGGGCTTGACTCGATGTGCGGCGTTTTCCTGCGAGGAGCGTGTCGCGGCGTGATGCAAAGAGAGGGGCAAGCAGGGCACAAATGGCTTGCTGGAGGATGCCTACAATGTGATTACTGATTGTTGCGAGCGAACGGCGATGAAGGACGCTGGGAGGTTGGAATGGGATGAATCACGAATGGTAGTCAAGCGCTTGCAAGCCTTGACAGCATCTTTTAGCCAGCCAACTCTGACTAGATTCACCATGAATCGAGGCTCAAACTTTGCACCTGCTGCTATATAGGCACCGATCGAGCTCGACACTTGCGTTTCGAGGCTTTCCCCATGACATGCAAGCTAAGCTCGATCCAGTCACGAGTCACGGGTAGGTAAAGTAGTCGCGTGTGTTCACGATTGAGTCAGTCACGAGACTCACGAGTCACGCTTACCGCGTCACCGCTTGCGTCGTTGCTGCGCGCGCCTTCGCAGCATCGCTGGATGACTTGCGCGACAAGAGCCAGCATACGCGTCCCACTCACCACCAGATCGTCTTCCTTGCCTGCGCCCAGCTGCTGCTGCTGCTGCTGTTGTGTGTAGCTGCTGCCAGCTCGACGTCGGAGATCCGTTGCGCTAGCCTGCTTGTAGCTTCGCACGCGAGCGTCATCCCAAAGCTTCGCGATTTGCGGGAACGAAGCCTTTCTTGGGCCTTTGCCTTTGCCTTTGCCTTTGACCGTGTCTGATTCATTCTTTGCACGCACGATTCAAGTGTCCATGGACGTGCTCCCTTCTGTCATAGTATCCCATCCTTCCTTTGGACTCTTCAGGCTGGCAAATTTGAGCATTGGGCTTCAAATCGCGCAGCTCACAAGCCACACGTTGCAGAGCCAAGGATCGCCACCTCCACCTTTGCTTTCATCGATCTCGATCTCGGCCATAGCATCACCGGCGCACGGCAGCATATAGCATCACTTACTACAAGATGCCTTTCGATCTGGATGCTTGTATCTCGCAGTTACTCTCGAAGCAGCTGCTTGGGGAAGCGCTATTGAGGGAGATTTGCGAGAAGACCAAAGAGCTGCTGATGAGGGAAAGCAATGTGGTGCACGTTTCTGCTCCCGTAACCGTCGTTGGCGACATACACGGGTGAGTGGATACGCGGGAGGTCATGGGTGCCGAGGAAAGCGGGTGTGGGAGTCGCAGCTAGAAAGCTCAACGAGATGCTCTCTCTCTCTCTCTCTCTCTCTCTCTCTCTCTCTCTCTCTCT